TGAAGTATATCGCGCAAGGAAAATTTCATTTTATTTTACACGATATAAAAATGTAATTCCGGAAGTTTTATGTTTTGTTGAAGAGGAATTTTTCGAATTTCTGAAGTTAATATTTTATTGAAAGAAACGTCGAATTCTCGAAGTCAATATTTTACTCAAAGGAACGTTGAATCGTGTTAACAGCTTTTGTAACACTAAAGGAGGATCTAAAAGAATTTTTACCGCGTTTTATCCGCGATTCTCTCTTTCCTGCAATTTTTCGAAAGAGAAAATTTATCTAGAAGATAAAATTTTCAGGATAAATTAATAATATTGCAATAATATTTTTGATTGTATCTGCTTCGATAATAATTAATCGGACGCGATTTTACAATCTCGAAAAGATCCTTAATGTATTCCTTAGAAAAAGAATCGTAATTATCATTCGTAGCAATTATTTAAAAAATAAATTTCATTCTCGAATATAATGAAATATAATTGAAAATTATATTTTTTAATTCATCAATAAAAAATGAAGAATTAAGAATTAATTCAGGAAGAATCGAGCAATTATCACGCTTTCGAAATTATTTTTAAATTCGTAATATATGATACATCGTTATGCGTTTCAGAGAAAATGTTTCATAAAATCCTCTCGTATGAACATTAACTCCTCTTAATTGAACGAAAAATCATAACTCGCGACGAGAATTACACGAACTTCTACTTATATGAACAACCTGGTTATATAAATCTGCTCGTCCCCTCTGTCAGCTTCATATAAACGGAATTCTACTGTGTTTCATTACTCCCATATAGCAGTAATATTCTACTAAGGATCGTAAATCCAATAATTACTCATAACTCTATAATAACATCTTTCAAATATGAACCGATAATTCGAGAGCCGACAATTATTTGATTATCGATAACTATAGAGAAATATTGGAAAACGTTAAATTAAACATCAACGATGCTACCTCAAATTTTTCTCTATCTCTACATCCATCCTAATTATCTCGATAAATAGAAAATTTCGATAAGAAAATAATCAGATAACAAAGGAAATATAAAAAATAAATTAACCTATACAATTACAATATTCTATTAAGAACATATTATATCATGAATATTTGAGAGTTCGAGTAAGTATTAAGTAAATCCAGGAATTAATTTCGTAATTCTATAATAACGTGTTCCCATAAATTCGAAGATCGTAATTTTGTTTGATCAGCAAGAAAAATATGGAAAAACCCAATCAACCCTTCGTATCCATCCTAATCATCTTGATACACAGAATTTTGTAGCAAAAATTCCGTGGAAATAATCAATTAAACGGATAACAGGGGAAATCCGAATGCAAAGCTCGGCCACGTAAAGCGTGGTTTATTCAAAAGAGCGGCGAGCCATCGATGAATCAGTCAGCTTTAATTCACGGTAAGCGCTCTCGAACCACTCGGCGCGCCGCTATATAGCCGGCTCGCAATAAATGCAATTTAAAAATGTAAATTTCCCTGCCGGCTACCTATGAGCTTTCTCCCTCCCGGCCACTCTTTTTTACCTCTCCTCTTTGTCTTTCACCTTCTAGGGGCCGGCCCGCGATCCCTCCAACACCGCCTCCTTTTCACGATTTTCTCCGCTTTTGAATTTTCGTGGCCAGGGAGTCGGGGAAGGGAGAGGAAATTCGACGATTCAACGGCCCAATTAAAATTTAATGCCCGGCGATACGTGGTGGCGTATAATTCCTGCGCCCCGTTAATACAGCGAATTTTACGCAACGAAATGGATTACACAAGCGGCCCGCGATTAAAAATTATTTTTCCATTTATCAGGATATTTCCCTTTTTGTCGCGATACACAGTCGTACATGGTCGTCTAGGTATTCATTGACTGAATACACGGCGCTACACGTGCTTTAAATTTACGATCTCTTTTCGTGTGCACGACACACGTCCTCTCGTGTCTCTGTGCGTGTATTCGCGCGGACGAAACGAGAGAAAGGATAAAAAAAAAAAAAAAAAAAGAAAAAGAAGAGAGAGAGAGAGAGAAAAGAAAAAAAAATGAGGGAATCGGTACTACATAACGACGTGCGCGTACTATGTAACACGTGAAAATCAGTAAAATGTTTCGAGCCACTTTTCACCTCGTCGTCATGATGCATCGCGGTCCAAGTGCATTTTTTCGACAGCCCCGTAAAAAAATGTGCTCTTTGCGCCCCTTCTCGCTATTGTTCGTTCCGTATTTGATTATAGTTGTATCGGTGACGGGATAGATTTCAGGGAAAAACACGAAATTCGTCGTAAAGGGTAAAATTGTTTAATCATTTTTTCTAATTTTGACTATTTTATTACAGTTTTTTCCCCACGAGATTTTATTTTATGATTAAAGTGAAAACTCAGTGAAGAGAAAAAATAATGTATTCTTTTAAAAGTGTAAAAATTAAAAGATTTTTTTTATCTTGATCTCTATCACTAACATGGCTTAAACTAACCTAACTATTCTATATTTCATATTAATAGATTAAAAAATAGAATATATTTTATGGGAGAAGAGATTAAATAAAAGAAAATTCGATTTTGTATCAGGAGAATATAAATTGATAGGAAGTAACTCGAAAAATTTTTCCAAGAATTTTAACAGTTCTTGGAAATGACGTCAAATTCTTAATAATTCTTAATAATTATTTTTTTAAAAAATATGTAATTCATAGTTTAATACTAAAGATATTGCGAATTTTAAATATTATCAAAATTACTTTGATGCGTTAGCTACTGAATGATTACATCCATTAACGTTAATGCATATTCAGCTATAATAAATATTAAAGCTAGGACTGTCATTAATTAATATTTAGGATAATATATATTATCTTTATATTATATTACATATACATAAAAGTATAAATGTATATACTTATAATGTAAATATACTTAAAATGTAAATTTAATATTTACAATGTAAATTTGGAATATGTATGTAAGTAGTTAAAATAGTTGTTTTAAATTTAGATATTTTTGTAATGCTAAAAACCACGTCTCTATATATTTAATAAGAAGTTTAACTTTTAATTAGCTACAAATTCATAACTAATTACAAATCATACCCATAAATATTAATAACAAGATTTAATTAATATAATATCGGACCTATGTACGCCTTGAAGATACCATGTGCTCGTAGAAATGTTAATTTCAAACGAGAAAGGGTCAATATAAAGAGCAATATGAATGCTTAACCCCCCTCAAGGGAATAATAAATATAAATGCACACTTCCGACAGTAAACTTACTTCATCATCGGTTAATTGCGACGTTCAAAATGGCTTTCGTATTGTTCGATACATATCAACGAAATGTTTTAATATTAATTACATTAATAATTATTATTTAATACATATAATTAGTAATAGAAAAAAGTACGGTGAAAAATAAATTAAAACGATTTAAGAAAAGTTATTTATCTCCAACTAAAAAAACGACGAGAAAATATTTCCAAGTCGCAATACATTTTCGTTAGGTTAACTTCGAAACATGAAAAAGCATCCAACATAGACGAAAGTCATTTCTCAGCCGCACCACGAGAAATCTCATTCGTGTTAAGATTAAATTTCTAACGTGTGAACTCTGCCTCTTACCTTATAATTCATCCCTTCACGTGTTTGCGTTACTTGCGAATCTGCCAACGTGGGCGAATGGGAGGTTAGGGAGTTGTCGTCGTCGGAACACGCTGATTACAGAAAACCTGTCGCGTTGGCTTATATATTCACAGAATACCTTCTTGCAGCATCAGCTAGTTCGACTTCGATGTTCCTTTTCACCACTATCGTTATTAACTCTTCAACTTTATTAACTTTAGACGTGTATGGTAATCATATCACTTTATTCGAAAATTGTAGAAACACACCGCGAGAAAACGATTAAATCCCGCCATTTTTACTTCTTCTACACGATTGTGACATCTACTGCACTAGTCATTTTCGACACTGAATTATGATTGAATTTTAAATACGATATTTGTTTGCATGTAACACGTTATGTCGTTACTTCAATTTATGCTATTATATTATTAGAACTTAAAATAAAACTTAAAATAACTACCGTTCGATCGCATGTCAATTTTTCACACAATCGTTCGAATTACGTAGTAGGCTTCGATAGTTATTAATTTCCGCGTATCAGATATCGTGTTTCATTTTTATTCTCCAATCGTATATATCATTATTTTTACAACAATATAATCGTGCACTTTGAACACAATCGAATATTCCAAATTAACAAGCATATTAATTAATTTTTCACGTGCGCATGTTACAATTTTGATTACATAATCATATCACTTTATTTGAAAATTGTTGAAACAGACCGCAAGAAAGCGATTAAATCCCGCCATTTTTACTTCTACACGATCATGCATCTACTGCACTAGTCATTTTCGACATTCCGAATTATGATTGAATTCTAAATACGATATTTGTTTGCATGCAACACGTTACCTCGTTACTTCAATTTATTTTATTATATTATTAGAACTTAAAATAAAACTTAAAATAACTATCGTTCGATCGTATGTCGATTTTCCACACAGTCGTTCGAATTACGTAGTAGGCTTCGATAGTTATTAATTTCCGCGTATCAGATATCGTGTTTCATTTTTGTCCTCCAATCGTATATATCACTATTTTTACGACAATCGTGCACTGTGAACACAGTCGCATATTCCAAATTAACAAGCGTTGTTATTAATTTTTCATGCGTGCGTGTTACAATTTTGACTTCGTAATCGTGTCACTTTATTCGGAAATTGTCAAAACACACCGCGAGAAAGCAATTAAATCCCGCCATTTTTACTTCTACACGATCGTGACATCTACTGCACTAGTCATTTTCGACACTCCGAATTATGATTGAATTCTAAATAGGATATTTGTTTGCATGCAATACGTTACCTCGTTACTTCAATTTATTCTATTATATTATTAGAATTTAAAATAAAACTTAAAATAACCAGCGTTCAATCGCATGATCGATTTTTCACACAGTCGTTCGAACTACGTAGTAGGCTTCGATAGTTATTAATTTCCGCGTATCAGATATCGTGTTTCATTTTTTGTCCGCGAACCAATCATATAAATCACTACTTTTAGTGTACTTTGGATACAGTCGCATATTCCAAGTTAACAAGCGTTGTTATTAATTTTCCACGCGCGCGTGTTACAATTTTGGCCTCGTAGACTTAACGTAAAATATATACAAGAAACGACACGATCGACGCGTCGATCCTTGTTGCGACCATTCAGCGTGGAGTGGAACTATCTTCGTTGCGCGCGCAACGCGTGCTGTTGACCCATCGTCATGGCAACCGTGCGACGAGTCTACACTCCAAGGTGGATGGACTACGACCGAACAGAAGTCAGTGCACGCGCGGACGTCGAGCCGTATGTTTATGTTCTCTTTGTGCGAATTTTTCGTGACGTTTAACTTTCTCGTGTCGTTTGTACCGTCGGTTTACAGTGCTTGTGTTTTTGTATCATTGGACAAGCAGCGAATTGCCGGAAGGGTTTCGTAAGGATCAAAATTCATCGTGGCTAAAGAGATTATGGAGTGACTGTTCATCGACTTAATCCAATAAGGTGAGCGTCATATTATATTCATCGATATTATTAAGAATACAGACATCTCTATCGAATTAGACAAATCAATCGCGTTTAACGAAATCGTTGTAATTCTGTTAAAATATATTCGTGCATTAAGCGTATATCGTTGATTGACGCTTAGTTGTCAGGCGGTAAAATTGAAACGATAAAACCGATAGGATATTGAGAAACGCTTTCTCGTAACATGGCAGCCGTTGTAAAAAGAACGAAATGGCTTGTGTGTGGATTCAACAACCGATATTATATCGATATTGCGTTCGATAGAATGGTACGATCACATAATATAGAGTTGAGCAAATGGCCATAAAATGCGTCAAAAAGAAAAAAAAGTAAAATGGCTTCCTATTCTATTACACGTTCAGGCGCGAAAATTTGAATCGGACAATTTTTTCTCGAAATATTATTATAGGAATAAAATATGTGGTGATGCATATTTTAATGCTTTTGAACATAAAAATATCGTTTTTAGGACGATATCGTGATGCGTTAGGACACGTTAATGGAAACGAATGTTTCTCAAGTGCTCCAATCTCTGTCAACCACCGAGTCGAGTGGTTCGTTCTGCTTTTAGTTTTGAAGATCGCGTTAGAAGTGAGTGCGTCGTTTATCAGGTTACGATGAAAGCGGCGTTATCCTCGGGCTGAATGCACTTTCGTGATTTTTTTCCCTCGTCGTTTCGATTTTGGTTAGGTCGAAAAGCTTTTCACCCGAACTATCGACCCTTTTAAACTTCGCGTTGTTCGCGTAGACGCAATCATTGCTTTTTGTTCGATATTTTAGTGACTTTTAGAAAATTACGTCCCCTTTATTGCAGAATAAAAAAATTATCTTCCTTTTTTTCTAATTTTATAGTAATTTAAAAAAATTTTTATTTTATTTGTTCCATTTAGAAAGTATTATTTAAAATTTAATAATTAAAATTTTAAAATTGTTTTTAAATCGAACGTAACACATTAACATTAATTAAACAGTAGACAAAATTCCAGCAATTATTTTGGACGAATCATTGCGAAATATATTCCAAAATCATTTATAAAATTAACGAAAATAATAATTTACATACGATCGACAATATTTTAATAAATTCATCGATCAAATTCAAATTTTAATAGTTGAAGTAACTTTCGCTCTCGTTAAAAGTCGTGAGAAACGAATCGAAAAAACATTTTATCCCCATCTTTCACTCCGCTCTAACATACAACACCTATAATAATTATTTTCCAAATAATGCAGATTATTCCACAATTAAAATTTGTTAAAAAAATTTTGGAATAAAGCGATAACGAATTTTAAAAACTTCTTATAGTCTTTCTCGACCGTGCAAAGACATCTCCTAGCATCTCTCGCTCTCGCATTATTCGCGGCGTCTCATTTATAAATCAGTACGAAACGCATCTGCTCACAGAAGCCAGTTTAAATCGACTTAACCGGAAGTCTTCTCCAAAGCTTCGTGAACTCGCCTATTTCGAGCGATGTAATTTCACCTAAGATCGTTGGAGCGATCCACGGTACACACAAAATGGCGTCTCTGAGACGGGGTTTGCGGCGGTTCGGTTTAAAAGAGCCGGCCGAATTCCGCCTCGGCGGAAGCTGCAGACGCCGCTGACTTCCGCTTTAGCCCGCCCGTTTCAAGGTTAACACCGCGAAGACGCGCTCCAGTCCAAATATTTCCCTTTCGAATAAGCTCGCCTCGCCTCTCTGCCGCCTTTGTTTTCGTTCCACCCTTCCCTGTTCAAAGGGATCCGTGACTGCTCAAACTCGGAAGTAGCTCCTTCGGTATTCGGTGCACGATTCCCCGCGTGCATTTGCATCCGGTTCAGAGTCGATTTGTCCATTTACGCGATACGAAACGAGACTACGCCCATCTTTTCCATTTGGCGGTGAAAACCGTGAAATCTTGATGAAACGATGCTTTTTTTAATACATTCTCGAACGAATTTTTTTTACCGTGATTCCAATCTTTTTCTATTTTAAAATTAAAAAAATAAGTATCTTATTATGTTGGAAATGGGTGTAGATTGAATTTGAAATTTGTGCGATGATTTTTCATAATCGAAAGATGCATCGTTGCGTTTATATTTAAAATAACTTTTAAATTCTTTTTCTACCTTTCTTTAGAAATTGGCACGATTTTCCTTGCTTCTTAAAGAAAGAAAAAAAAAAAAAGAAAGAAAAATTACGTACGCATTCCAATTTTTTCGATCATGCAAGAATTCGTAAATAGATTTTTCGCAAAAATTTTTCACACACCTTTCCTCTCTCTGGAAATTTAATCCAAATCTCCCCTCTCGACTCCAACTTTTTTCAGAAATTGATAATATTAAAGCGTAAGGTATAAATGCAGTTTAAAACAGTATAAACTCGAGCAATAACGAAAGGGCACGTATCCACGAATAACATTTCGACGCGTTATATAGAGCTCGTCTATATAGTCGGGAAAAGGGTTTGCACGTGCAGCAAACACGTGGGGAAGCGATATCGTACTACTTGAAACACGTCAAAGAACATATTTCGTATTCGAATAGGATAATCAAGCGAGGACTTGTGAGATTTATGCGCCGATCGATGTGAATTCACAGCGATAGCTAATACGCCGCAACTGGAGAAACTAATAATTACTACTGCTTGCGTGATACAGAGATAATGGGGGAGGGGTGGGGTTGTAGAATGCAATTTACAGTAATAGTATCGCGATAAGGAAATCTGATACGATTTATAATAACGATAGTCACAGTCAATTACGGGGAATTATTATATTCAATTTATCGGTCGAAAATTTTCTTTTGCCGAAAAAGGGAGAATCGATCGATGCTTTTATTATTTTTTTTTTTCGAGAGAGAGAAGAAATTTAACGAAACGTCTTTTTTTAAGGATTTTTAAAATCGGGTCTAAACGAAAAAATCTTTAATATTTCAAGGTATATTCGAAATATTTCAATCTTAAATAATACGCAATGTGTTTTGTCTCGAAATAGATGCGAGTAATGATCAAAAGAGTCGCAGTTAATTGAACACGAGTGCTACTCCCTTTTTTACTCCTTAATTAAATATTCCAGTATGCGAGTTTTTCTCATGTCTCGTGCAAATTACACGCGTTGCAAAAATTCTTCTCTCTTTTTTTCTTTCTTTCTTTTTTCTTCCTCTTCGACGCGGAATCCATTGCGTTAATTAAGTAGTTTCGATCGTCGTTTTTTTTCCCCTCCTCCTTATATCGAAATGCGTAATTTTCTCGGCTCGAACCGCTGTTTATCGAGTTTAAATTTGCACGCATTTGTTTATGTTTAAGTAATTAGGTCAGAGTTAATATTGGTTGCGATACGGTAATTGGGCGAGGGTACTTGGACCATGCACTCTTGGCGAACTACTTTTGGTTGGAGAAATAGTGGAGAATAATTCGTGGGAAATATAACAAATATCAAGAATTGTGAATTTTAAAAAGAGAAAAATATTCGAAATAATATTACGATGTTAAGAAGATTATTAATAATTTTATTTATTTCTCGCGAATAATTATCTTTATCCTGTTTTTCTTTTGAATTCACAGAAGCTATCCACAGAATATTTTATATCTAAAGTCGAGAAACAAATGAATCGCTTTATACGTAATTTTATTACCCACGCGATCGTAATGCATCGTAGAATTCGTTTATTAATTCCAAGAAATTAAATCTCGTGGAATACGTATTTTTCGCTCGAGTCGATACAATGCAAAAATCGAACCTTTATTTTCAACTTTATCTATAGAAATAGGGGAGAAGAAGAAGAACGTGTTCGATCGGGTGGTTGGATTTTGAGACTTCGAGACCATTGTTTGCGACTTTTAATGCACACACTTTTCTATATCGTTGGTTTTTTCTTTTTTTCTGATCGGAAATCGAAGGGGGCAGGTATGCACAGGGATCGAAATTAAGGGTAACCGAGGATCATATCGAAGAGAACGGATGGACGTGGTCGAGAGGGAACCCTTTTGTTCGCGGTGCTGGGTTGTTTTATTAATCGAGATATCCGGGTCACCGAGGATCCCTTTCTTCGTCTCTAATTGAATCGAAGGTGGCTTAAGAATCATCTTGGTCATCTTTGGCTATCCGTTGAATCCTCCGATAATAGGAATATCGGAGAGGAGGATCGGCTAATTCGTGATTCGTTAATTTTTCCATTATCAATTTATTACGAATCGGGTGTGTTAAGCGAAATTGGTCGAAATTCGAGCAAAAATGATTTCGCTCGAGAAGAAGGGAAGTGTATTAAATGGTTGCATCTATTAAAGTTTCGAAGAATAGGAAGATAAGAGGAAAATAGATCGTGTTTTAACCCTTCGATTTTCAACATTATCGTTCAAAATTATAGCACAATGTTTACAATTCATAAATCAAACAGGATAAACATAGAAGACAGAATTCAATGTACACGAGCTTTTAATTTATTAAAAGCGATGATTTATTTTACGACAGCAATTTCAATATCTCCTCCGTTAATTTCAAATTTAACGCATATTCACATTGTACGTTATTTTATAAAGTAGTTTCAGTTTCTATTCACTTTATATTCATCCATAATTCTCTAAAATCATCATCCGTATTACGTACAATCTCAATCGATATAAAAATGTTTGAATCGATATCAAATAAATACACGAGCGAATCCGATAATTCTTCTCCATTCTCTCTATCCACGAATTTCTATTCTTTGTCGAGGTAAAAGGCAACTTTTAAAAAAAGACACTCGGCCAAGAGTATTTTCGAGTTTCGATCCGATCATAAAAGGGTCGAGATGACGTCGCGGAAACATTTCACCTCGGAGGTGAAAATATTTAGTGAGAAAAGCCAGAGGGGTTGACGCTTTCTGGCGCGAAAGATGAAGAAAAACACCCCTAAATAAATTTCGAGAAAGGCAAATTTACACTTTTTCGAACGAATCCATCCATCCATTCGTTTTAAATAGAACAAACCATTCTTTCTTTTTGCTTCGTTCTTTCTT